CGTCTCGCTCTGCCAAGTTGTCTATCAATCACTAATAGACCGGCGGACGCCCCAAATTGGAACTGGCCCGCACTATTCTCGGCGTTGCCTCCTGCGTCTACTGCCGAGAATTAACCTTTACCTTGTCTCTTCGTGTTGCAGGTGAAAAACCCTTTAAATGCGAGTACTCTGGCTGCGATCGGAGGTTCGCCAACTCGTCCGACCGGAAGAAGCACTCGCACGTCCACACATCCGACAAGCCCTACAACTGCCGGGTGGCGGGCTGTGACAAGTCCTACACGCACCCGTCGTCGCTGCGGAAGCACATGAAGGTAAGCATCTGCGCCGTCGTCTACGACCAGTTTCCATAGTCTGTCGATTTCTCTTGGTCCTCCCGAGCTAACCATCCCTTGTCTTCCCGCAGGTCCACGGCTGCTCTGGCGGGTCCGGGTCAAGCACGTCTGGCGGAAAGTCACCGGTCCACGGCGGCTACGACTCGGACGGCGAGGAGTCCAACAGCTCATCGGCGGGCTCCATCAGTGTGGCTGGCGGCGCCGCCTCGCCGCCCCTGCCCTTGGACGTCAAGTCCGAGTACAAGCAAGAGTACAAGTCCGAGTACAAACAGGATTACAAAGGTGAGTGCTCCAGCGACAGCTGCTCTAGGCGCTGCACGTTGGGCGGCCTACCTCCACGGCGGCGGCCGGGCCAAGCTGTGACACGTTGCTCACTCCCTGACGGTCATGTTGCAGGTCCCCACCACGTCACGGCGCACACGGTGCTCACGCCGCCCTCCATGCACCACCACCAGCAGCCCATGCTGCACCAGCAGTCGTCGCAGCAGCCGCCGCCCACCTCGCACCACACGCAGCACGCCCAGCAGCAGCAGAATCCCCAGTCATCACAGCAGCAGCAGCAGCAACAGCAGCTGCAACATCAAACCAACCTGTCGGAGTGGTACGTGTGTCAGTCGGCGGCCGGCATGCCGACACCCCCGTCAGCGGAGCACTCGCCCGTCAACCCCCTGAACCACCTTAGCCACCTAACGGCACCCCACCACCACCACCTTATGCACCACCATCTCAACAGTGGGGCGGCCACGGCCTACTGACCCGGCACCGCCTGACCGGCCTTACCGGTAGAGACCGTTCCTGCTGTGATTGAATTATTTGTTGGCATCGGGTGAAGAGTTATTTTCGTTGTACCTGTTTTGTTTTAGGTTTTTTTTTTTTCGTTTAAGAGTGTGTGGAGAGAAACAAAGTATCTTGTCTTTATTACTTGTTATTTAATTGTATTATCTGGAGCACTCCTCGTCGTATTTCTGACGGAGCTCTCCAAAAGACTGCCTCAACCAAGCGTTTCCTAGTTTTGCTGCTGTTTGTCTGTGTTTTTCATGTTTGTTTGCATTTCAAATAAAAATTTTGCCCTCTCTTTCATTGAACAGAAAATAAAAAACAAGGGCAGTTGGCTCATTATAACAGTGGTTTTATGTTGCACGAATGAACAAGATCATTTCCCGATGAACCACCCTTCTTAAAATAGATACAGTATAAGCGCAGATAGCAGCAGCTAAAGATGACCGTGAGGTGATTTGTAATTCCTAGTCTTTCAATGTCCACGAGACATAGTTTTAAAACAAAGCACAATGTGAACCTATAAATGTATAGATTTATGATGACATGTTTATGGTATTGTGAAATCTGTAATTCGCTAAATTATAATTTTGAGTGTGATTAGATGAAAACCCATTGTTGCTTTAAATAAAAAGTCGAGTTTATGCCCGTAAAATAATTATAGGAGAGCCGTATGGTTCCTTGAAAACTGTACAAATTTATATAGTTGTATATTATATTGTCAAAAGTAATTTAAATGTACATGTCGTATGTCCAATGAAACCTTAAGTGATATAATTATATTGATAAACATAAATTTGAAGGTGTCTTTTTATTTTCATCACTGATTTCAAATAGGTCTTCTTTAGAAAGAACAGGTAAACGCGCTCCTCGCACCAGAATAAGTTACGTTAGATTATCCAATCTGGAGCCCGCAGAAAAAGCAGAGGCAGAGAAACTAATCGGGGAAGGGGTGGGGGTCCAGTTTGCAAAATGACGTATGCCATCTATTATTGCGTAGCACTGTACCTGCGTTACGCTCGTCCCTTGTTCCCATGGCCCATGAAGCGCTTCCGGTCAGACCTGAGGACGGCACGACCGTGGCATAGAAACACCCAGTGCCGCACTGGCAGACGTGATAGTAGGACGGGGTTGATTCCTGATAAGTCCTGGATCAAGGAGCGCGCAGGCCTGTCACGGGGCGTCAGCTCCCCCCCCCCCCTTCCCTGCACACCACCTTTCCCCCACTCTTGACCGCCCGAGTTATATAAAGAGCGAATTCGCGTTAGTCCGCTAGTTGACCAGAACGCAAGTTCGCAGTCTCCGTGCTTTTGTTTACACATCTCGACAGCATTTCAAGTAGGGCCGAGGGAAATACGGCTGCAATTCACCATAATGGGTCGCGTGACTCTGGGGTTGGCAGCCCTTTCATTGGCGCTGCTGGGTGTGAGCGCCGAGCCTTTGAGGAAGGTCAATGCACAGCCTCCTGCTGCAGTCACCGACACGAGGCAATGGTGGGAGACGGCAGTGATATACCAAGTATATCCCAGATCTTTTAAGGATTCCAACGGGGATGGCGTGGGCGACCTTAAAGGTAGTGTATTCCACTTTTACCGTTATTAAAGATACAGTGATTACAGCAACTCAAGGGTCGCACTAAATGTCTCAACTAGAAAAGGAGGATAAAACGAGCTTCATTTTTGTACCCGGTGCTGTGAATACGCAGCAGTGTTGCGGGATATTTCATACTCAGTATGGCCGCAAGCGCCTTATGGCCCCTTACGGGTGTAAAGAACCTGCAACACTGCTGCGTATTCACAGTTACACCCAGTACTAAAAACGCTCGTTGCCACTATGCTTTACAATTCCAATATATTAGAACTATTTTGGTATAGTATGTGGCAGGCGATAAAACGCATACCACCATTATGGGACATCCTCTTTAAATGCCAAATTTCACAGTATATTAATACACCAAGGAAGAGTTGACTTGCAAGTACACACAAGGACGAGTGTACTCGCCATAGTACACACCTACAAATCAAGACATGAGAATAACAACAGCTCACTTCTAGCGTCCGTTTAGAAAACCTCTTACCTATGGCGACGGAAAACCGCTCATACCTCTGCAGACTATTTGGAAAACCGCTTTAATAATTCTTTTTTACATATTTTGAGGTATCGGTATCATTGGGGATTGCATTCTCGGGGATCAATGTAATAACAATATCTCAAAATGTGTAAAAAAGTAACTAAGCGGTATACCAGACGGACACCCAAGGTATGAGCTTTTCTAAACAGTCGCTGGAGGTGTCTTGACTTGAAGGTGTGTACCATGGCAAGAAAACTCTTCCTTGTGTGTACTATGGCAAGTACACTCTTCCTTGTGTGTACTGTGGCAAGTACACTCTTGTGTGTACTATCGCAAGTACAGTCTTCCTTGTGTGTACTAAGTACACTTTTGGGTTTGCAGTGTTGGCGTTCTTCCCAGCTGCCATAATGACGAAAATATGAACATTCAATGAGACCAAAGATTGTCTTGGTTGAAAGGGAAAGCAAATATCTGTCGATTTCATGGAAGATGGCAATTTAGCAGGTGATACCTGATACCTTTTACTTACACTACAAGTAAAGAAGTGACCAAATACGATCCAAATAGAGCGAAATTGTGAATCCAATTTGATGACTCTGGGGGGAGAGATATTAATTACATCGCTCGTTAGGAGTAACTTTCGCGATAATTTTGGTTACGAACAAGACACATTTTGAGCCATTTTCGCAAACTTCGCTCGTTTAGAGTCGTTTCTGCGACATTTTCTGTTACGATGAAGACTCGTGTCGAGTCTTTCGCAAAAATCGCTCTATTCGGGAAATAAAAGTCGCACTACGTTTTGCAGTGTACATGTTAACTGTTGACATTTTTCGTAATTTTTTTGGTCACCTCATCCTCCTGCCACGTAGGCCTGCCTCTTCCACTTGTCTCTTACTTGTGTTTAAAAGCATTATCAAAATCATATCGTAGAACCAACTGACTGAACCTGGGCAATTGGATCACAAAAACAAACATGAACCCCACCGTACGCTGATCCGCTAACGATGGGTTCCCTACTCTCCCAGTGGGTGTTCAATGAGTTAGGCGAGTTTTCGCGAGTATTCGGGAGTAGTGACGAGTTAACGCGAGTATTGGCAAGTATTCGTCGATTTTTTTGCGAGTTGGCGCAAGTTTTTTGCTAGTTACCGCGAGTTTCGCGAGTATCTTTGCGAGTATTTCTTCTCCTGTACCGGGTGATTCAGAGCACGCGCCGCCGTGTTGCGGGTTTGCCTATCCTCGACTCGGCGGGCGCACGGGGGAGAGGTAAGGAGGGGAGGGGTCTCTCCCTATGCTTTATAGTTCTCTCCCTATGCTTTATAGTGAGGGACCCCTCCTCGTCCGCAAACATGCTCGATGCACTCATAAGACTAATAATTGATTGTCTATTTATTTTATTAAGGAATCACTAGTAAACTACAGTACCTGAAAGATTTGGGCGTGGGCGCAGTTTGGTTATCCCCTATATACCCTTCTCCACAAGCGGACTTTGGGTACGATATAAGTGACTTCACGAACGTAGACCCACAATATGGAACTATGGATGACTTCAACGAGCTCTTAACTAAAACGCACGATCTTGGTAAGCATTGAAGTTATCGTACATTTGGACTGCTACGCAGATCGCAAAGAGCTAATAATGCACCGATACTTTTTGTCCTCAAACTAGGAATGAAACTTGTCCTCGACTTAGTTCCTAACCATTCCAGTGATGAACACGAATGGTTCAAAGCGTCCGTTAAAATGGATCCAAAATACAAAGATTACTACGTATGGAATGACGGAAAAAAAGAAACTCTAGACAATGGAACTGTTATTAATGTTCCCCCGAACAACTGGGTACGTGATCTTTTTAACATTCATAGAGCTCGTGCAAAAGAGATCCGTTATTTTATTTGGACCGTGTCACTGCCGGTGAAACGACATAACTTTATGAGTACTGAAGACACAAGTGTATAAACCCTATGTACGATAAAACGTAAATTTTATGATTAAGAGCTCCTACGTGTTCAAACCGAGGACCGAGGAAATACTCGAGTATAGTTTTTGATCAAGGTATAATAAAGAGCCTAACCTCTTTTCAGACCCGTGACAAAGGCGTCGAGGCGCGACAATCCAAACGGGGAATGAGGAACGTGCAAAAGAAATTGTACTTCTCAAAAGCCCATTCACGAAATACTGTCTGACAAATGAATATAATGCAATTAACATATTTGTATGGACTGATTAAAAACTCGCATTCATAAAAAATAAGCCCAAGATTGCCCCAATAACTCTGTATAGGCGCTGATAGTGTGGTACTCAAACGTTGACTCATACTTCAGGAGCTCAATATTTCGCATATTGCACGTAGTCTATTGATATGCCGGCAAATTTCATCAAATAACATTTAGTCATTTGTCTGGTCAAAGTCTAAATTTAACAACATTTCTTCTAGCTCTCGAACTTCAGGGGATCAGGATGGACATGGAACGACGAAAGGCAGCAGTTTTACTGGCACCAGTTCGCTGTGAAGCAGCCTGACCTGAACTACAGAAATGACGACATCGTAGAAGAGATGAAGGTCTGTTTTTCGTTTGAGCTGCTACTACATGGGACACGAACGCACGATGTTAACCACGCTTTCTGATCCGGATTACCAAACAGAACGTCCTTAGATTCTGGCTTAAAAAGGGGGTGGACGGCTTCAGAGTGGACGCTGTCATTACCCTCTACGAGGACGCGCAGCTCCGAGACCAGCCCCCCTGCGACTGTGATGAGACAGACCCTACACAGCGTGACTCCCAGAAGCCTATTTACACAGAAAACCTCGATGAGACCTACGACATGGTGGTGCAATGGAGAAAGGTTCTTGAAGAATTCGGAACCGACAAGTAAATTTCATCTATTAT